TGAACAAGATAGGACGAAGTTATACCACAAAAAACAAACAACGTAAGCCTAAGTTTTTTTGTCATAACTTTGTCCAAACTTGAACAATCAAGCTGATTTTGGTGTCATTCGACTCAACTAGTCGAGCTCTTTCGAATGAGCTATTATTTGACCAATTTGCGCTTTGTGAAATTTTTTCCAAAATGTCGAATGTCAGAATTCGGGTTCGGGATTCGACTTTTTCAAAATCCGAGTTCAGATTCGTAATCAGCATAATTTTTTACCCTAGAAAAATCCTTTTTCTTATTTTTAAGATTTTTTTCCGCAGGGACCACGATTCTCCGGGATTGCCTTTTTTTCATTTTATTATTTTTCTCTTATCCGGGTAGATTCTGCCGGAGTTTTTGAAGGAGTAAAACCGATCCAAATTACTCCAGAAAACCCCGATCGTGCCCAGAGGCCTTTTCCTAACCTCCATGGCAGCATAAAAATTTTTCACCCCTTTGTGACAAGGTGGCCTGCGACAAGGTGGGCCTGCGACAAGGTGGCCTGCGACATGGTGGTCGCGACAAGGTGGTCGCGACAAGGTGGCCCGCGACAAGGAGGGCGTGTCCCACCCAACACCCATCCACTTTACCTCCGAGAATACCTCCAAATTTCTCAATTTCAGCGCCGCAGGCTTTTTATACATGTTTACAGACGAACATCAAATCGAGCAAAAGGTTAGAATTTAAAAGGTTAAAAAAGGCAAGCATTTAAAACACTAAAAAAAGGATTGGATTATCATTATAGTTTCCCCAATTTTCCTATCTCTAGCATACTTTCCAATAGACTTCGCCGTAACAAACTCCCCTATTAACCTACCACTTTCCTATCGAACAAAAGTATAACGATAACCCATCTTCCGCTTTAGTGTTTTAAACTCTTGCCAGTTCCAGATCCTATTCAATAAGTTAAATTAAGACCTATAAATCATTGTAATTTTATTTGTGTTGACAAATTTATTGAAATTTTATAAAATGTTTGTTATAAATTTGAAATTTAATTATGTTTAATGTTAGCAATCTATTATGCCAATAAAGGCAAAATCCATAATTATTTTTATTTTTTTTTTGTTTTTTTTCATTCTAAATTTTTTTTAATAGCTGGAAAAGCATAAAGTCAATATTTATAAATGACAAAGAGGCGACTTAAATCCCACTTTCCATCCGGTGTCAACAATTCATTGGGAAAGTCTTTACTTAACCAGGCTAGAACCAAATCATCTTTTAATGAAAAACAATCAACCTTGGTAAATTTTATTTTTTTTAATTTTTGAATAGTTTTAAGCAGGATGCTGGAAAATTTGACTCGCGAACTCATGAATCGAGTGTTCAGGAAATTTTAACGAATTATGAACTAGCTAACAAAAATTTCGAAGCCGAAAGAAGTGACCTTAAAATTATCGGGTTTTAATTTCTCGAATAACTTTACCTTTCTTAAATTTTTAGTTCAAAAGGAGATACCACTCTTTTGGAAGGTTTGGAAGAACAAAATTTGGATGAGCTTCATGTAAAATATGGTCATTTGTTAAGTATACCGCGTAGGCCAAAACCTGATACCTATCAAACTGCAGAGGAGTTGGACTCTCTCGAGACGTCACAATTTCTCGATTGGAGACAAAAATTGGCTAAACTTTCCGAGGTTTACAAATAAATTAAAAATATTTTTAAAATTATATAGGGAAGTAAAATTATTATAACTCCATTTGAACGAAATTTAGAAGTATGGCGTCAATTGTGGCGTGTAGTAGAACGGAGCGATGTTATTGTACAGGTTAAACATTAAATTAATTGAAAATAAATATTCTTTTTAAGATTGTTGATGCTCGAAATCCATTGCTCTTTAGAAGTATTGACCTAGAACATTTTGTAAAAGAAGTTGATCCATCGAAGAAGAATCTGTTGCTAATTAATAAGGCTGATTTACTCAGCTCTGAACAAATTATTTGCTGGAAAAAATATTTTGAGGAGAAGGGAATTTTTGCAGTATTTTGGTAAAACTCGAGCACAAATTGAAAATTTTACAAAATCTTATTAGGTCTAATAAACAAACTGTTGTTAAAAATGTTGAAAAAGTGAATGAATCGGAATATCGAAGTAAAGATTCAGAATCTAGTGAAAAGTTTGACGAGGGTGACGAAGAACTTGATGATGAGGAGAATATTGAAGAGTATGAAGATGAGAAGGAGGAAAAGTTGAATGAGTCTATCAAAAAGTGTGAAACATCGGTTACCGAGTTATCCTCGCAAATTGAATGTTCCGACAAAGATTTTGTTGAATCTCCATCAGTGAGTTTTTATAAATTTTAATGAGGACAATCTTACTTTCTTTTTCAAAAAAAAATTTTTTTTAATTTATATTCAAGGATCTTTTACAAATTTTTGAAACATTTGCTACAACAACTCCAAAAGATAATGGAATTGTTATTGGTATGGTAGGTTATCCTAATGTTGGCAAAAGTTCAACTATTAACCGTTTAATTGGTACAAAAAAGATAGCAGTCTCATCTACTCCTGGAAAAACAAAACATTTTCAAACGCTTGTGGCAAATGAAAGAGTTTGTAAAATTATAATTTTTAAATTAATTTAAAATAGATAACTTTGTGTGATTGTCCCGGACTTGTAATGCCATCTTTTGGATTAAGTAACAGTGAAATGATTTTAAATGGTAATTTTATTTTTTATGATTTACAACTTAAAAAGTCTTTTCAAGGAATATTACCAATTGCTCATATGCAAGATTATTATTCACCAATTTCTCTATTATGTAACAGAATTCCTCGTCACGTTCTACAAAGACATTATTCTATTTTGTTACCTAAAAAAGAACCGGTGCAAGCTCATGATTTTTTAACAGCTGTCGCTTTTCTAAAAGGATATATGAGTTCGTCAGGAATTCCTGTAAATTTTATTTTTTTTTTAAATAAGACAATAAATTTCTTCAAAGGATTGTTCAAGATCTGCCAGACTAATTTTACGAGATGTTGTTCAAGGAGAGATTCGATGGTGCATTGCCCCACCAGGCATATCTCAAGAGCAATTTGATAATTGGACATATAAAAATTTTGTTAAAAATGTATAAAATTAATTTAATTTAAATATATTTTAATTTATAGACTGAAAATTCTAATGGGAAAGAGGTTGGCAAAAATTTACTTGAACAAATGCAAAGAAGAGACCTATTATTGGACACTTGTGGAAATGAAGAATTTAATAAAACATTAACTAAAACAAATCAAGTTGAGACACGTATTGAGAAAGAATTTTTTCCAAGAATGGAAGGTTTAATCTTTGTTTTTGAATTTGTAATAATAATTAGTTTTAGATATTAAAAGAGGTGTTGTGACGATGAGATTAAAAAATAGTACGGGAGAAAGCTTAATAGAAGAAGAAAAAAGAAGTAAAAAGCATTTTAATAAAAACAAACGGCAAAAGCTTAGACGTATTTTTGTTGCAACAAGTTATGTTTAAAATTTGTGATAAAAAATTGTTCGATATATTTTCCTAATTTTGTTTCTGAAATAAAAATTTTAGAGCACCGAAATAAATATTTCTTATTGTTAGCCAATTTTGTTCTCATCAGGGCCCGTAGAATAAATTCGGGGTTAGATAACCCGGTTAAATAACCCGGTTAAGCAACCCGGGGGCAAATAACCCTTAGCTACGGGTTAAAATCGGTAGAATAAATTCAACCCCGAGTTAAGGGTTATTTAACACCGAGCCAAGGGTTATTTAACTAGTTGAGTTACTGGGTTATTTGACCCTTTATATTTTATTGCCAAACCCATTTCGCAATAATTGTTTACTGGAATAAATCCAGTGTTGTCAAAGTTCCAGTTCCGGAACTAATTAGTTCCAATTCCAAAACTAGAACTACGGAACTAATGATTATCTGGAACCAGCTTGGAACAGGAACTATGGAACTAGTAAATGTCTGGAACTAGTTCTTGGGGGTAAATTTTTGACAAAATTTCCTTGACGAAGTTTACGGGATTTTCAATATTGTTGTAAATTACCTGAAGCGCGCTGAAAATAGAAGAAATCTGGCTGCTTAAGCTCAAAAATTCTAAAAATTTTCGCCTACGGCGCTGAAAAAGTGAATTTTTTGGCATACGGCCTTATTTCTACGTTTTGCATAAAAATTAAAATTTTAAAAATTTTGCACTTTAATAAATGTTTTAATTTTTCGGAAATTATGCATAAATCGCGTGTTACCCTGCCCCCTAGTAGGGTTGCAATTTGCCCCTTACCTGCGGGTTATTCAACCCGGGTAATTAATTTATTCTACCGGTAATGTTACGCGGGTCAGATAACCGGGTTATCTGACCCGGTCATTTAACCCGAAGCTAGGGGTTTGAATTTATTCTGCGGGTTACGGGTTATTTAACCCCAAGGTAGGGGTTAAATACCCCTTACCCCGAATTTATTCTACGGGCCCAGATTGGATATATTTTTTGAGTTCTGACTCAAATGCATCCAACAAAATTTTTATTCAAATTCGTCATTTCAGTCTCATGTATTATTTATTTTCTTACGATGTGCTGATAATGTTGACACGATTTATATTATTCCAGTTGCCGAGAGATCTTCTATCTTTTGGGGCTGTTGGTTGTGCAATGTTTACAAGAAAGCTGCAAAGTAGTAAAAAGATTCCATTGGGTTTGACTCCACTAGAAGACGTTAGTCAATTATCTCCCTTGGTTCTACGTATTCTTGGTTTGATCTTTAAACTTTTAAAAACCATTCGGTTACGAATTTTTTAATTCGGTTTATGAATAATTTTTCAATAACCTAAATGTGACGCGGACATAATTTCTATTTTCAGGGCAGAATCCGGGCGCTTTTACGCTTCAAGGCACAAATACTTATTTAGTTGGAAAAGGAGCAAAGTATTTTTAAAATTAAATTTTAAATAAAATACAACGAAAAATTTGTTCTATTCTTCAATCCTAACCTTCAAATTTAGGAAAATTCTTATTGATGCTGGAGAGCCAAATGTTAGTCAATATTTAAACAATTTAATTGATTCATTGAGTAAAAGTTCCAGCACTTTAGAAGCTATTGTAGTGACACATTGGCATGCTGATCACACTGGAGGTATTGGACAGATTCTTCGATACTTAAAGAAAGTATTTTTAATTTTCGCCATTTTTTGACTAAATTCTCATAACTTTTCAAGGAAATACCAATCTACAAACTTCGTCGCACAGATGGACAACCAGAATCAAATGAATTTAATTTTACTTTTGTGGAGGATGGTCATGAACTTCAGATTGAAGGAACAATTCTTCGGTAAATTTTTTTAATTGTGAGATTAGGTTCCAAATTTTTCTTAAACGTACCTGATAAGATTTTATCAAGTTTAGTTATTAAATTATCTAAATTGTTCCCTTTTAATTAAATATTTTGGTCATTAATATTTTTTACCTTCAGTTTTCTTTCTACTCCTGGTCACACTTCCGATCACACAGCTCTTTGGTTAGAAGAAGAAGGAACATTATTTAGGTTTTTGTTGTTTAAGTATAATCTAAATGTAATAATTTAGTGGTGATTGTATACTCGGTGAAGGCTCAGCTATTTTTGAAAATTTAGATGATTATATGAAAAGTCTTCGAAAGCTTTTGGATTTAGCACCGAAACGGATATATCCAGGTATTATACAAATTGTTGATAAACTTTCAATGTTTCTAACACAATTTTTAGGTCATGGTCCTGTTGTGGAGGATCCAAAACAAAAAATTCTTGAATATATTGAAAACAGAAATAGACGAGAACAAGAAATTTTGAATGTAATTTCAAATGATGGACCTGCTACAACTATGCAGATAACTAATTCGATTTATACGGTTTAACAAAAATTGGTATTTAATTCTTTATTATTTTTTTAGAATATTCTTCCCTCTAGACGTTTAGGCGCTTTACTAAATGTTAGACACCATTTAGTTAAACTTTTGGCTGAAGGAAAAATTGAAGATATTGGGCCATCAATTGGTGGATTGGGTTTTGGTCTTTACGTAATAGCAGATGGAAAAAAGAAGGACAAAAACAAATTGTGATACATAACAGAGTTTACAAACTTTTATTTTCGGATGTATGTATTTGGCATTTTTACTCTGGCCTTATCCTTTTTTGAAAATTTAATAGTCTTGTCATGAACAATTTCTGTATAGTCTGCATAAAAATTTCTTTTATAAAAATAAAAAATTTAATTCTACGAAATTTGTTAGATTTAAAAAAATATTTTAATTATCTATATCTTTGTCTTTATGTATTCTAATTATTTCAATTGAAGTATTATAGATGTCTATTGAATCGGATAAATATTCTTCCAATTTTGCCAATGGAACATCAAATAATTGTAATTCTGCCTCTCATCAATCAATTCAATATCCAGATGAACCTTCTGAAGGGATAAGAGCTTGCATACTCGGCCGTGAACGCATTTCTAAATTATTTTCATCTCCAGATTTTGCTAAAACTATTGTTGATTGTTTTGTTCGAGTTGTTGATCAGAGTAATGGTGGAGACATTAAAAAGTATAAGGTAAAGTATTTGATTTTTAATAATTGCAAGGATTTAAAATTGGTTTTTGTGTTTTGTTTGCGCAGTTCAAAGGCTTTCGATTTTTCTGGATTTTTTTTTATTTCTGGAATTCTTTTTACAAAAACTAAAATTTTTCGAAATTAATGAGTAAATTCACTAAACACTTAAAGTAATAAGTGATCCTTGTGGATCCAGGAGTTTTATTTTATTGTTTCACATTTATTTATTTGTGTTCGATAAAGAAAAAAAGTACATTTAGATTGCACGTGTTGTCTCTGTTTTGGATAATCTTGATCATGGATGTTATGGTGAAAATAAAGGGAAATTGCTACAATTAGATGATAAAACGGAAATTGATTTAGATGTAATTTCTGAGGACCAGGCAGAAGAGCTTGAAATTCAACAATGGTTAATGAGTTTGATAAGAAAGGTATTTTTTTAATTAATCAAGATTAATGTTTGGCACTTGTGCTTTCGAATTCTCTTTGTTCTGATTATATCCTAATTTTAGAATAAGCCAACACCTTCAATTGGTCAACTTATAAATAAAATTACTGAAATTTCTTCTGCTCTTTCCTGGCCATTTTCTCCTGACGAAAGGTAAAGATTAATTTTTAAATATTTTTTGAGAAAATATTTACAGACAAACAGAGGCGGATTATCATTCTATAAATGAAGGAATTAATTTGGTTGAGAGTATTATTGAATCAGAAGTTACGGATGTTCAACATGTTTTAAGTGGTGTTGTTGAATCTGTAGAAAGTGAGGAAATTAATGAATACCTTATAGATCAAGAAATAACTGAAAATTTGGAAATTAGTGAAATGGCTGCAGAACAGGTACTTAAATAGCTTTTTGGATAATTCAACCTTACTGAATGAACAATATTTTATATTGATCGTTAATTAATTTTTAATTAATCATTTTTGAAAATCTTTATATTTTAAGATTTTTCATGAACCTGAAGAACCAGACATTATAATTCATGAACCAGACATTGGAATTCTTGAACCAGACATTGAAATGAATATTGACAATATTCCTAGTGAATTCAGTCAAATATCTGATAATAATGAAGTTGTTGAGCAGTCCGACAATCAATCTAGCCAGGTTCTCTGAATAAAAATTATTTTCTAATTCTTAAAATTAAAAGGCTTTTATTAATTCTGATACTTTAATTGGTGGATATCAAACCGAGGATGGAAGATTCAAAATTTGTATTGCTGATGATGATGGTATTATTGGAAGTGTTATGTCTCCTAATAAGCAAAGAGCAAAAGAGAAAAATCCTATTGAATATGTAGGTATTTTAGAAGATTAATTATTAAATATTTTTCAAATGTTTTCATTCTTTTTTTTTCACTAGATTGAATATTTGGATGATATTTTGCCAATTATTTTATCAAAAACATTTATTATCCAAACTATCCACTCGGCTGAATTTAATCAGTTGGTTACTGATTGTTTTGTTTTTGTTAAATATAACAAAGATTCGAATGAAAATGAAGGAACGAGTAAGGAATCGACAAATAAAGAAGAATATAAGGTTGTTTAATTTAATAAAAATATTTTTTGTTTTTTTATTTTTTTAGCTGGCAAAAATTTGTAAAGTTGAGGATACTGAAATTGTTTATCGTTATGAAGATTTATTTTTCCAAAAAAGAATTTTATTGGATTCTAATGATGATCTCTTTGAATTATCTTTAAATAATGTTTTGAATCAACAGCCGACAAATGAAGAATTCAAAAAATGGGTTTTGGCTATTAGTACTAAAGCAAAGAAATCAATTAAGGTTAATGTAAGTAATATTTTATTTTGTCTTCAATTTATTCCAATAATTAAAAAAAATTTTAGAAAATTATACCAACTTTACAATTTGTTATATCAAAACATGTCAAAATTGATAGTTGCCGAACAAATTCTTTGCTAGAGAAAAACCTTAAACTTTATGAATTAGCCAATAAAGAAGTTTCTATTATTTACGAAAAACAAAATAAGGTAAATAAAAATATAAGTATTTGTCTATTAATTTTAAATATTTTTTTGAAGATAACTACATATAATGAATTACTTCAAATTTTCTTGAAGCGTTCAGAAATTCTTAAAATAGTTCGCCATCAAAGTTTTTCAAAAACAATTATTGGAACCTTTGTTAGATTTCTCTATAATTTACCTAATGTTACTAGAAGTGAACATTCTCAAGCTCAAGACAGTTTAAGATATAAGGTTTTTCTAAATTTGTTTTTTAATATATAAAATTTAAATAACTGTCGGATACATTTTGATGGCTCTTTACTAAATCTTGGAATAATATTTATGAAAAAACTTTATAAAATTGTATCCGCAAGACTGTTCTAGATTATTTGAAATTATTGTTTTTTAGATTGTGCAAATTGTCGGTGTTCATAAATGTGAATTTCCATATCCTGTTGGACGTTTTTCAGTCGATAAAGAACTTAAAATTGAATGGGATAGAGTTATTGTACATTGTAAAATTTCTTCAATTTCTGATACAATTCCAACGCAAAAAGAGTTTGATAATTGGATGACTACTATTGAAAATAAACATGTAAATAAATTATTTTTTATTTAAATAATTTTACTTTTTAAGTCAGAATCAACAATACCTTCTATTCATTTTCTTAAGTCAAAAAGTGTGGCAATTAAAAATGCTCTTGATTTAGAAAAAGAAGAGCAAATTAATGTTCTTAAAACTCCGGAAACAAACAAAAATGTAATTAATTTATTTTTAATTTTTATTGTTAGAAATATTTGAAATATCTGTAAATTCGGTTATAACAGTGTTGATAAAACACTTTAACCCCATATAAATTTTTAAATTTTTTTTTATTTTTTTAGACAAACTATTTTGAGATGTCAACAATAATTGTAGCCGAATCACAGTCTCAAACGAAAAACACTGTACAGGTTTATTTTCTTTAAAATTGTAGATATTTATCATTAATTTAGACACCCGAACCGATTACAGCTAAATCAAATATTTCCTCTTCAACCCCAACTTTTGCTCGTCCTTCTGTTTCAACACCAGCAATTGCTACAGACATTCCAACAACAAGTTCTGGACACAAACTTAAAGGATTTGGAATTTTTAAGCATTTAAGAAATGGTTTAAGTGAAGGTCCACAATTAAGGAAGAAGGAAACACCGACAATGAAAGCTCCTCTTTTAAGAAAAACTGCAAAGAAAGCACAGCCAAAAATGCAAGCTCCAGTCAGAAATTTCTATAATCAATTAACACAAAAAGATAAAGAAATTCTGCTTAAAAATGGATTTAAAGGGGTAAAATAGAAGAGAAGATATTTTTAAAAATTAATTTAATTTTAGGCTGTAAATGTTCGGATTAACAAGAGAGAATTTGATAAATCAATGGAATTTGCTAATTGTTTTGAATTTACAAGGAAGAATAAAAATGTGAATAGTAAATTATTGTCAAATACTTTGGAGAGATTACAAACGTAAATATTCTTAATTAAAAATTAAAGAAAATTTTTTTGTTTAATTTTAGCCCAACAAACAGAAAAAGACCTCGTTCACCACCAATTTCGTCTAATGATAATTTGAGTAGTTCGAAGGAAGCTTCTATTGGTGCGTGCGCAAATATCAGTGTTGGGGAACCAATTTCAATTAACAAAAATGTTGGAGGTAAGGGAAAGGGTAATTTTAATAATAAAAAAATTCTCTTTATTTAGTTTTGCAAAATGAAAATCCTTCTTCTGAAGTTCAGCAGCCACAACAAAAAATTAAAAAGCAAGATTCTCTCACTACATTGCCTGCTCAAATTAATAAATTAAAAGTGGAGATTGTTGAAATTGAAGAAGTAAATAAATGAATTATTTTTAGGACTTAAAAAATTATTGACATCCATCAAAATTTGTTTACCTTTGTTTTGATCTGATTTTAATAGAGTTTGGAAACGAAATAATTTTTTGTGAATTTTTGGTAAAATTGTCGTTTACGGCCCTTTTTTTTCCTCCCCTCCTGAATGTTTATTAGAATGGTCACTTTCCTTTCTTCCTTCTCGATAATCCTTTTTGTGTTTTGCCAACAAACAGCCAAAAAGGATTAATTTTTATTTTGTTTTGGAGGGTGGCCAAGCATGCAGAAAGGAAGGTCTGACGATTCTGAACATTAATAGGAAAAAATTTGCGGTGGAAAAAAGGTGGCCGTAAACGACAATTTTACGAATTTTTGACTGAAATAATTTTTTAATTCTCTTTTTACAAATGCTAAATTATTCCAAGCTCTATTTACATTCAATAAATTTATTTTACTATTACTACTTTATGTATTTCCCAATGAAAATTACCTTGACACAAAAATATACTACTATACCTAATAATATTTTTTCATTACAAGATACACCCCAATTTAAAATATTTTTTCTAATTTGCTAGGCCACAGTTTAGAGTATCTTTACCACCCCCATTATAATTCAAACATTTCATTTTTAAGGATGTATTTTGTAGTGACCCGGTATTTATTTACAAAAATATATTTATTTTCACTTTGTTTTTTGGTTATTCTTGATAATTTTAAAAAATATTTTCTAAAATTTTTATATTATTTTATACATAGTACAAATTGCTTCGAATAACAAATCGACCGTCAAAAGTTTAAATATGTAATATTTGAATAAGTTAAAAATGAAATTTTCGATTTTCTGAATAACTACTCCGGGTACTCGAAAGTTATTCAAGAAGGCGGGGTAATTATTTTTGGAGGGAAATTAATACAAATTTTGCGGAATTACATATGTATTATTTATGTCCTTAAAATTAATTTAAAAATTAATTATAATATCCTGAAGATGTCGAGGATTAGCAGCTAAAAATAATTTATTGGTAATTTACAAATCTAAATTATTCATTTCTGTTAATAATATTTCTTATTTTCATCTTTCTCCTATTTTTTCAATCTGTCATTATTTAATTCTAAAATTGCCCTTTTGTGTACATGTTTCATCTTTTAGTCCCTAGAATTTGCTTCTTAGTTTCCATAAAATTAGTTAACTTCCTTTATAGTACAATCATCCTTTAAATAAGTCCTTTTTATCCCCATTTAACTTTTGCTTTTTAAGTTTTAATTTAAAAAAATAAAGTGATGCAATATTTAAAATGCAACTTGTACATATATTTAAAAATATATTTTACTTTGATTTCTGATTTTTCCTTATCTTTAATAAATTTTGGGGGCAAAGAGTTTAATGCCAGTTTAAAAGTAAATAATATTCTCCCCATTTTTTAATTGTCTTGTGCTTTTTGACACACCCAAACAGAGTTTAGAAAGGCTTTCTATGTCTGTTTTATGCACTCAAGACTGACCAAAAAATATTTAAATGTTAAAAATAAATAAATAAAATAATCAGTTAATATATAAATATATTATCTTTTATTTTTATTTTATTTTAAAAATATTTTTTTAATTTAAAATGTTCTGTCGGGAATGTTTAAAGTTAAATTAAATTTTAATTTTAGGATTATTTATAAGAAAAATAGAAAATTATTAAATAAAAAATTGAGCATTTATTATTCAAATACCAATTTATTTTTTAAAATATTTTTAATTGAATCTTGATAAAATTTAATCAAATTTTAAATCAATTTAAATCAAATTTTCAGAATTTTTGAGGGATTAAAATTTTTGTATTTTGTGTTTAATTATATTTATTAACCGGTACTCCCGGCTTTCGGTTTTGAATTTTAGACAAATACCAGTTTTATTTTGGGGGAATTTTTAATAAAATCACGCATTTTCACAAATTTCCGGTTTTTCAAATTTTCTAAAAACAGTTAAATTTTGGCGAAAAATCTCAATGGTTTTAAGACCGGTCGTGTCCAACCTAGTATATATACATAATAACTTCCCAAAATATTTAATTGAAATTATTTTTTAATAATTAAAATTTAAAGTCTAAGTAAATATGCCAGCATTCACAGATGAACGTCCAAATTTTGACAATTCTTTTAATAAAAACAAAATTTCTCCAAATAATAATATTAAATTACCAGAAATTAATTTTATTTATTTAAAAGATGAAGAAGAAAATACTAAATCTTCTAGTCCTCCTTCATTAAATAAAAAATTAAAAACAGATTGGAAATCTATTTATATAAGTACTTTAGTTACTTTTTGTTGTCAAGTTCAATTTAGCCTTTTTTTAAATTCACAATTTGCTTATATGAAAAATGTAAGAGGGAAGGGGATGGGGGGGGGGGTGGGTAAGAGGGAGCTTGAAATTTATTTTTAATTTACAATACATAGATAAATTAAATATTTTTTATTACCGTATTTTCTCGATAATTCCTCATTCTAGATTAATTCCCCATGCCAGGGATGGGTTGAAACAATAATTCCCAACCCTCAAATACCCTACTGCACGTTCAAATGTCAAAACTCGAATAATTCCCCTCCCTCGAATAATTCCCCATCCCACGGATGGGTTGAAATATTAATTCCCCGGGGGAATTAATCGAGAAAATACCAGTAAATAAATAAATAAATTATTTAAAATATAATTTTCAATAAATATTTTTTTGAAGTTAGACCCACAAATAACAGAAATATTTTTTGGATTTGTTGTTGGTGGTTATTCTTTAGTTCAAATGGTATTAACTCCTTTAGTTGGAATTTGGGCAGAAAAAATTGAACAAATTAAATTGCCTTTATTAATTACTAATTTTTTTATGCTGGTTAATTTTAATCTTTAAATTTTAAATTTAAATTAAAATTAAAATTAATAGTTTGGAAATATTATTTATTTTTTTGTTGAATTATTTCCAAATAATTGGATTAAAACAATATTTATTATTGCACGTTTAGTCTCTGGAATTGGTCCAGGTATATTTAAATATATTTAAATAAAAATTTTTTTTAATTTTTAAAGCTCAAAATAGTCTTTTAATTTCTTATGCAGCTTCAGCAAGTTTAGATAAAGTAAATAAATTAAATAAATAATTTAATTAAATTAATAACAAAATAAAAATGTTTGTATAATCTTTAAAATTATTTTAAAATACCTACCTACCAAGTATCGATCAAAAATCTATCGAGAATTCAAAGGAAATTCTGAAAAACCGGCACAAAATCCGACCCTTTTTCTCAACTCGGCCCATCCATTCTACTTACTTAACTTTTAATTTAAAATTAAAATTTCAATTTTTATATTTAAAGGACAGATCAACAGCCACAGCCTTCATTACAGGCGGTATAGCCTTTGGTGTTACAATGGGACCAAGTAAAAAAATAAAAAAATAATTAAAAAAAACTATAATATTTAAATTAATTTAAATGAAGCATTCCAATATTTATTTACTTTTCTCGATCCTGGCTTATTTTTATTTAATAATTTATATTTAAATTTATTTACTGCACCTGCTTTATTTGCAATAATTATGAATTTAATTTTACATTTTATTTTACAATTTTATTTTCATGAAAGTTATGTTGGGGTTTTAATACATAAAAGAAATAATAAAAAAGATTTAGTAAATGTAAGGAAATTTAAAACAATTTGTATTTTTTAAATTTAAAATAAGAGATAGAAAAAGAATACTTCTAAAATCCTAGCAAAATACTCAGTATTTTAGATATGTTACCCTAGGAATTTTGTTGATATTTGATAATATTAATAAATTTTATTGTCAAAAAATACTGGACGAATTTAGGAAGGGATTGAGCATTTGAAATAATGTGTTACTGAATTTATTAGATTCGTACTCGTTCTTGATAGGATTATGAACAAATCACACAAGATATGTACAAAATTATATTAATTTAAGAAAATCTTTTATTCTTCTAAACATTTTAACCAAAAAACAATTTAAAATAAATTTAAAGGGCATTCCAAATCAAATAAACAAAAAACTTCCTCCATATGATCGTTTAGCTTTTGCTGTTTGTTGTGCAATGAGATTTACTCAATATTTGGTTTTTACAAATTTAGAAACGTAAAAAATTTAAAAAATTTTAATTAAAAAATTTAAAGAATTGGAATTTCTTTTTCAATGGCAATGTTTGTATGGTCAACTAAGCAAGTAGTTAATTATGAATCTATTGCCCACACGGCACGTGGAGCTTTGACTTTATTTATTTATATTTTTTATATTATTTTTAATTTAGGAAAAAGGTTTTTTTAATTTAATTCCAAATAAAAAATTTAAAATTTAAAGATTAAATGAAAGAATTGTCTGTTTATTTTCTTTATTTCTTTTAATATTTTTTCATTTAATTACTTATTCTTGGCCTTTTTACAAAGATAATGTTGTTACTTTTAGTTAGTTTTTTTATTTTATTAAATATAAATTAGAATAAAATCGGAATTATTACCCAGAATAAAATCGGAATTTATCTAAAACTCAAAATCGAAAACCGGGTTTTTAATTAGGATTACCATATTTACTCGATTAATTCCCCTCCCTCAAATAATTCCCCTCCCCCGAATAATTCCCCCTGCTACGGATGAGTTGAACAATAATCCTCCTTTCCCAAATACCCTACTGCACGTTCAAATGTCAAAACTCGAATAATTCTCCATCTCACGGACGGGTTGAAAAAATAATTCCCCAGGGGAATTAATCGAGAAAATACGGTATATATAAAATTTAAAATAAATTAGTCTTTTTTAATTTAATTCAGATTCAACAAATTTAACAGAAGAAGGATTAGGTTGTGATATAATTAATGAATATTGGTGTAAAGATTTAAAACAAATAAATGTTTGGGTTTACTATATATCTGTATGTTTTTAGATTAAATAAATGTTTAATTAAAAAATTAAAAATTAAAAGATTTGTTTATGTATGGGAATTGCTTTTCCAAATATAAATGTAACAATGAATACTTTATTTTCGAGAATGATTGGACCTAGAATGCAATCAAGGGAGCAAGGAATTCTTGAATTATTTGGAGGGTTGGGGAGAATGTTGGGGCCGACATTAATTGGGTAATTAATTAGAGAGAGAGGAGGGGGGGGGGGGGGAATATTTGAAATTTTGTTTTAGAAAAATTTAAAATTTGGAAGTTAATTAAATTAAAAAATATTTTTTATTCAAATAAATAAATATTCCCTTCCTTTAATTAATTATTAATCTTTAATTATTTTTTTAATAAAAAGGTTACTTTACCACAATTACGGCCCTAGACCTGTTTGGATTTTAGAAGGAACAGAAATTTTATTGATGGCATTATTTTGGATATTTTTTTGGAAAAGACTTGTTCCGTTAAAAATTCCAGAAGAATTTAATGAAATTAAAAATAATTGTTGAAAAATTATTCAAAAATTTAAATTAAAATTTTTGTATGTATTTGTCTAAATATATTATTTACAATTATTTTTTAAATAAATTAATCAATTAATTAATTTTTTTATTTAAAATTAAATTTTTATAAAAAGAATTAATCATTCAACCAACATCTTTAATTTTTTTTTGACTTTATTCATTTAACAGTTGTTGTTTAATTTAATTGAGGATATGTTCATATAATTAATTAATTCTTTACTATTAATTCTAAGTTTAATTTTAAGTTTATTTTATTGTTAAATTCTTTAAAGTTTTTATAAAATTTTCTAAAAAATTTAATTTAAAAAAAGCTTTTTTATAGAATATTTTCTTTTAAATTTTATTTACCGTATATCCTTTAATAACTACACTGGGTAATTATTGTTTCGACCTTCCGTCGGAGGGAGTAATTAATCGAGAAAGGGTAATTATACGAGGTTTAAAATTTGAACGTGATTTAGGACATTTATTTGGAGGTAATTATTGTTTCAATCTATCGTTGAATGGGGTATTTAATGAAAGTGGTAATTATTTGAGGGAGGGCAATTAATACAGGTTATACGGTAATTACATATTTTTGTTTGATCTAATCCATTGTACATATAATCGAATACTTATTTAAGTCTGTAATTTTCGAAGAACGGTACATATCTTCGACTATGAAATAAATATTTTATCGTCTTTTAATATAAAATTAAAATAATTTTTTTCTAAGATATTTGGGATCACATTTATAATTAAAAATTTATTTTCAAAAAAATGGAATCTAAAATTAAAACAATTTTAACATTAATTACTTTATTTGCCTTAATTGCAAATATTTATGGACAAGGTGTTTGTGTTCATCAAGGAAAAGAATATTGAAATGGAGAGGAATGGGTAAGGGGGGGGGGGATTTATTTAAATTTAAATTTAATTAATTAAAGACTTATCGTTCATTTATTATGCGCTGTGATGTTCACCATAATTATTGGCAAACAAAGGTATTTAAATAATTAATAAATTTAGACATGCCGTAAATACTAGTGTTATTCAAACGCGTTTTTTTGGTATCGGTATTTTCGGTAAAAATACCGCGGTATTACCGAAAAATACCGCCGTAATACGGTACCGTGAATAACACTAGTAAATACTTTAATATAAGCCAGCCTCTTGTAGAAGCCCCCTCTTCTATTAATATAAGCCCAGTCAAAGTGCCCCATTGAAAAATTAAAGCCCAAAACATATATTAGAGTATTTACTGTATATACTTAATTAAAAAAAAGTTTTCTAATTCGAAAATTCCCACCTTTTAGCAATTTTAAAGATTAAATAAATAAATTTAAAGGTTGTTGCTTGTGTCTCATTAATGGGAGATAGAATTCCGGTTGGTGGACAAAAATCTGATAGACATGGTCTTTGGAAATGTATACAAGATCCGTCTGGAAATACTCGTTTGGTGCAGGAATGAAAAATAAAAATAATTAAAGGAAAATTAAATAAAAATTAAATAAATAAATTAATTTTGAAAAGAATAAATTTTTGGGAAATAAATAAATGAATATTTTTTGCTAGAAAATAAAAAAATTTATTTTTATAAAAAATGTTTAGGTAAACTATGAAAATTTAAGATATCTAATGAAGATAAAATGTTTAATAATTTGTTGAAATTAAAAGGTTTTTGAGAGAGGGAAGCTAGACAACCGAATCCCTTCCTAAAAATTTTGTACCCACAAATAAAATAATATATAAATTTTTATTAAATTATATATAGTAAATATAATTATTTTTAAATATTATTTTTTACTTTCGCCTTTCGCCCTTTGAACGTTGTCTTCGATTTTTAAACCAATTTGATATCTTAAATTTTTAATTAAATATTTAAATTTTATTCTTACCTGTATTTTATTTAAACCCGTTTTCCTTTCAAGTTCGCGTTTTTCTTCAGAATTTGGATATCTATTTTGATTGTAATATTCTTTAAGTAACTTAAATTTAAAAAATATATTTATTTTAAGTAAACATTTGTTTTTCGATATTTTTTTAAAGAGAGTTGTGGGGGGGGGGGGGTACAGGAATATAGAAACATTTTCAAAGAATTATTTCTGTAAATTGGAAATGGGGAATTTTTAACAACTATCTTTTGTATTCTCATTTAAATTAATTTAATTTTAACAAGAAAATCATTGACCTTTTAACATAAGGTATGATTTTATTTTAAAGGAATAGTTAATTATTTAATTATTTATTTACCTCTCTAGCACTTTTTCTGAATGAATAAATTAATTCATCTCCATCCCAAATACTTCTAGGCGGAGGATTCTTCTTTCTAATTCTATATTTATCTACAGGAACTAATTCTTTTAATTTTTTATTTCTATCTTCTTCATATTTAGCATCATACCTTTTTTAAAAAAATTTAATTTAAAATATTAGGGTTTACATACTAGCCATTTTTAAAAATACATATTTAGGAATGTATAAGGAAAATCCAAGTTCAATAAATAGCTACACCTTATTTTAATTTAATTTAACTTTAACTTATTTAATTTAATCTCTAATACAAAAAAAAAGATTAATTTGTAAGTACACCGTGAAAAATTTTTTACAAATATTTAGAAGTACCCTATAAAATTACAATTTAAAAATCTAATTCTCATAGAGTTTCTTATAATATCACAATTGTTTTTCCACTTCAAAAATTCCAAAAAATTTCGTCGCTGGCATAATTTTGACAATTTTTGGGGTAAATTTAATTTTTTATCCAAAAAGTCTATTTAAAGTACCTACTTACAACTACATATTTACATCTTCAATTTCGTAAGAATCGCAGCCCTATTTTAACTTATTCACCTTAATTAATTTAAATATTTAAACAAACAAACCAAAGTTCAATAAGGTCTGAATGGTGAGAAGGCTCAAATTTACTTTCACCTATTACTTTAAAAAATGCCTCAAATTGTCTGTTATGGAATAAAACAAATAAATAAGCTTTCAAAACTGTTGAGGATTTAATATATGGAGTGGATAATAAATGGGGATTTGTTGAAAATAACTTTAAATTTAAAAAATAAATAAATATAAATTCTTTTTAAAAACTTTAACTAAACGTTCTCCTTCATCCCATTGAAATAAACATTGACAAACAAAATTAATCTAAAAATTTAATAAAAGGTTTAAAATTCCCGTATTTTCCGTATCATTTTAAAATCCCTAATTTATTTTTTTTTCATTTTTTCAATAAAAAGTTCAGTGATTTTTGCCAAAATTAAATCATTTTAAATGTAATAAATATAATCATAAAAAAATAAATGCAACGAGATCTCGAAACTAATATTAGTGATTGAGAACATAATTATTGTATTATAGTACTTTTTTTTAAAAAATAACCTGTTCTTGACTGAATCCTTCACACGACCAACTATTAACATTTGGTTTCCAATTTGTACTTTCCATTTATTAAACATTAAATATTTTATAGACAAATATTTTGCGTAAATAAATATTTTAAATAAATTAGTTTATAATTCGGAAGTAAATGAATGGATCTAAACTTATGTAAAATTGGAGGATATTTAAATAATTATTGTTTAATACAGGCTTGGTAATGGATAGGATACAGATAAGTTTAAAACGCCTGCGGAAATCCGACTGTATCCGCCGTAAATATCGGATACGGATACAAAACTCTATGTCATCATCAAGTCTGGTTTAATATTCAAAAAATAAATTTATTACATAATCTAAATTTTCTAAAATATTTTTATAAAAAATAAAAAGGTATTGCCGTTATAGAACCCTTTTTTTCAACTTAAAAATTCATTGAAGCTGAAAATCCATTTCCTTTAATAAATTTTTAGTCCCTCCCATTTTTCCCTAACATTACTGTAAAAATGCTAAATTATTCCTAACAATTTTCTTCTTTTTTTTTTCCTTCCAAATCCTTCCAATTCATGTTTTTTCTTCTCTTTCTAATTGGCTTTTTTCCTTCATTTTATTTAAATGCTTTTCTTGACTTTTCTTTACAAAACCTCTTATTATTAGTTGGCGGGATTGAAGAATGGAAGAGAGAGAAATGATGAGAATTAAAAAAAAAGAAGAAGAAAGGAGAATATCTACATACCATTATTGGAATCAAATTTCTTTAACGGAAATTTCAGGAAAATAATTTAACAAATATACATAAATTTTAATATGTAAATTAATTTAAAAATTAGATGAACTAAATTGAGAATATTTTTTTTAATTTTATTTTTGATACATAATTATAATTAATTTAAAAATATCGAATTCAGCAATAGCTCGAAGAATTTGTTTAAAAAAATCTTGGATGTTTTGTTTAACTAAGGATTATTATTTTATTATTTTTTTTAGTTTAGAAAAGGAGATTTTTTGTATTTTTAAATAATTAATTAAAAATATATTTAAAAATAATTTATGTATATCAGAATATTTAACAAATATATACTAAACAATAAAATGCCATAAAAATGTTCGGGCAATTATGCAACAACACCTGCAATTTTTAAAAATTTTTCCTTTCTTTTAATTCTTTAAATCCAAAAATGGGGACAACAGAAAATGGAAGGAAGACAAATGCCATGAAAACTAATAATAAATTGTCAGATTATAAACTAAGAAGAGGAGGAGGAGGAAGAGGAAGGATATTTAGATTTTCTATTGTTTGTGTGCTAATTTGTTGTTTTACTAAAAATACATATATAGATGATAAGTAAGTAGTAGGTAAATAAAGTAATTTGTTTATATGCTGGAATGAAAACGAAACAATTAAATACATATTAGAGGAGATTATATCAGAAATAGAACCAAAGTCATAAATTCTGAGCCATAAATTCCGAAATATTTTCAAAATTTACCGAAGAAATCATCACTATATGTAAATTCACTGATTTGTTTTACCAAAAATTTTTTTAGATAAAATAAATTTAATCTTGGACCATTTTTGAAAGGAAAACAAAAAACATTCAAAAACAACTATGACAATTAGCAAAAAATTCTCTTTATTAGTGTCCACGCCGAAAATTTTTCATAATTTCCTCAAAAAATTTTTACAAAAAGAAATTTTATATAATTATTTTTAAAAATAAAGTTAATATTTTGCTCATGAAAAACTTAAAAAAATATTTATATTTTGTTTACTTAAGCGGTTCTTTTAGTTAAAGGAACTGAAAAATTTATTTGGCCTCCATATCCCCCCCCCTTCCACCTTATTTTGCTTTGGAAAAAATTTTTGTAGAATGTCCAAAGCAATTTTCTTGCTTTTTTAATTTGAATAAAAATTCCCTTTTTGTCGGTATAAAAAAGGATTAACTCTTTGCTGGATAAGCAAAGCACAACAGGTAAAGAGATTTTTTAGTTTTGCCACTTAAAAAATATTTTTTTGATTGGCGTTTTATATAAATATTTAAAGGAAATAAAAAAATAATAATTAATATTCCATTAAAATAATAAATAAAAAATTATTGAAAAATCTGTGCTTAATTCTATAAAAATAAAAATGTTTGCAACGGCCGGGAATCGAACCCGGGCCGCCCGCGTGGCAGGCGAGCATTCTACCACTGAACCACCGTTGCTACATCATTGGATATTTACTTAACATTTAAAAGCATTCAAGTTAAAATAAAAACCAGTTTCTCAGAGAATTGCTCAAAGCGCAATAATCCCTTGGATGATTTAAAAAATAACTAATGTCTATTGTGAAGCAAGAAAAATTAAAAATGACTAAAAAATGTAACCAGAAAAATAAAAAATATGTAAAAAAATTTTCCAATATAATTTTCTGAAATTCAAAAATTATTTCAGTTAATTTAACAACTTCAACGGCAAAACTATACAAATTTTTAAAAAACTTAAAGATACATAGATTAAAATTTTATTTTTTAAAAGAAAAAAATTATTTCATAATTAAAATGAATTTCCGATAATGTTCATGAATCGAAATGCGGATTAAAGTTATCGACCAACGGCGCCGATAGGTTGTCGGCGCCGAAATGTTCATAAAAAGCCTAAACCTATTGAAGCCTAAACCTTTTGGATTAAAAAGACTATTCGGCGCCAATAACTTTGGCGCCGAAGTTATTTCTTTAACTAAAACTTTTAAAATTAACAAACTTTATTAATAAATTTTACATCATTCGCAAGCTAACGATATAAGGATTTTTCTTTAATGGACACCAAATTTTAGCAAAGAAAAATTTGAGAACAAAAATATCGGCGCCAGATAGTCGGCGCCGAGTTGTCTTCGACCGTCTTCCCTACAAAACCTAAACCTTTTGACTTCAAGTTTTAGCTACAGTACGGTGCATATGTTTACGGACAAAGGCTTTAAAAAATTTAAACCCAATTTATTCGAAAAATTGAATTACTTATCGAAATGTATAAAGTAATTTTTATAGCATTTTTTATGCTCTATCTATCGATACAAGTATCGGCTGAAACATATTCGTTTATTTCCAAAAAATTACCCAAATAAATTTATAACCTTAATTTTTGTGGTGCAAATGTTTACGGACAAATCAAATAAACCTAAATAATTTCAGAATAGTATGCCAAAAAAATTTATCGCTACTCCGTAGACATTTTCATTGATATTGAGTAGAAAATAAAAAAGAACGGAGTCTGTAACTTCTTTCTTCGTTGAGATCTCGAATCTCAAAAATCAACGGAAATTTGGGGTACAGTACTTCAAAAAATATTTTTACCCCCTAGAGCTTAAATTAAAAATTTTCTTTTGGGTCCATTAAAAAGCCCATAAAATTTGCTACAAAATTGTCCAAGTTTTTATTTTTCCAATAAAAACTCATGGAGCTGAAGGAAGCGAAATTTTTTATGTTATCATTTTTGGGGTATTTTATGTGATTTTTAACCATTTTTATGAGAAAGTCGATGTGCGTCGAACAACTATTTTTTAGAATAAACGAGACCATGACTATTTTGTAGTAAATTTTATGGGCTTTAAGATAGGCCTAAAAGAAAATTTTTAATTTAAGCTCTAGGGGGTTAAAATATTTTTTGAATTACTGTACCCCCATTTCCCGTTGATTTTTAAGATTCGAGATTTCGATGATGAAGTAAGTTAAAGACTTCGTTCTTTTTACTTTTCTATTCAGTATCTATGGAAATGTCCACAGAAATTTTTGTAGAATTTTTGCACCAACTAAAGTAGAAAAATTCAAAGTTATTTAATCTGTCCGTAAACATATGCACCACTAAAATTTAAGTTATAAAATTAATTTGAATAATTTTTTGTAAATCATAAATGAATTTGATCCAATTGATGTTTCATTAGATAGTGCATAAGAAATACTATCTAAATTATATAATCGGGTTTCATTATAAATTCATTTTTTTCAAATTAAATTAGATTAAATGTTTTCAATGCCTTTGTCCGTAAACATATGCACCGTACTGTAAAAACTTGAATCCAAAAGGTATAGGTTTTGTAGGGGAATTGAAATAGACAATTCGGCGCAGAATTATTTGGCGTTAAGAATTTTTTCTTATGAAATCACAGAACGCCTTCCGATCAATCTGACAAACACTTTGTCTACTGAAACACTTTCTGACTAAAATACCTTCTTAATAAAAAATTATTTTATTCATTAAATTGCCATAATCTTCTACAAATATAAATTATTGTGAAAACCCAACTAAGTAGAAAGCTCTTACATCCTTTACTAGTAGTTTTTTTTAAAAATGGGATCCCATGCAGGATTTTGCCTAGGAAGTTACTCCAAAAATAAGTCTGGCTCCTCATATTCTCTATATTCTTTCTAATAGAAAAATAAATGTTATCAACTATAAATATTTTGTACTTAACATTATTTTTGCCCCCCCCCCCCTCCCCCTCCATCCCCTTCATTATTTGTTGAGCCAAAGTTTTTTTGTTAGTGACTAAATATTTTATTTTAATCTATTGATTGTATACATAAAATACATAGACACACAAACTGTGTTCACATAAAAAATAAATAAATTTAGTTTTTTTTAAATAACTTGTCTACCACTTTAAAATTTTAAAATCTTCCGTTTTGAAAAAAGACTTAGTAAAATCGCAACACAAAAATATTAATTATTAATTTATTAACCTTCAATTTTAATAATTTTAATATCTGAAATTTAAACATTATCTACACAAAATTTAAAATATTTTTTTATATAGAATTGGTGATCAAATAAATCGAATACCCCCCCCCCATTTTTTATTTTCTTTGTAAGAATAAAAAAAAGATTTTTATCGAAATTTTCTTCCAATATTTTTTTAGAATTTTATTTAAAATAAAAACATTTAGTGAATACCTAGTTAAAGTTATTTGTTTTTTTTCTCATTTTGGTATATCCTCCTCCTCCTATAACTGTTATGCTCTGATATGTATTAGTTAAAAGCTTTTGTGCAAAATTTTAAAAATTTAAAGGGGAATAATAATAATTATTAA